CCAAATGGTTATTGGACAACAATGGGCTGGAGGCCGGGCAACCATTTTCCATTCGAGAAACCCAATAAATTAGTGAACGTGTTGTTTACATTTTCTTGAGTGGGAATTCCTTTTTCTTTTTCTTTCTTTTGCCCTTGCGCTTTTTCCTTGATATGATTTAATTATAACAAATGGTTGAGATTTTGGGTGTATTTGATAAAACTGAAGTTTGAAGTCTGAATCCAATAAGTTATTGAATTGTTAAGTATTAAATTTAATATATTTGAGTGCATATCACATTTCAGTGATAAGTGAATAGCTTATCACTTAATTTTGGAAATAAGTTTTACCTAAAAAATTTAGTGCCACTTACTTAATTTAGATGTTCAATTTTTGGTTATCAAATGGTCTGAATATGTTAAGATCTGATTTTATTAAATTTAAGTGTTGAACTGGATTATCAAAAAGGGCTTTACATTTTCCCTAGCTAGTAAAAACTGAAATGTCACATATATTATATAGACCTAATGACAGGTACTCAAATTTGTAAACTATATTGTACTTTGATGCATATTACACGTAATGACTTCATTTTTGTATCTTATGTTCTCAGACTGTGCTTTATTTTGCAAATTACTAATGTATTGATTCATAAATTAGTACAACCTATCAAAATTAATTATACACTATCATCTCCAAAAACGTCATATGAAGCAAGCCATTGCAAGACAATGAGTATATTCCATATACTAGAATGAAAATTTAGAACACAATTTATTTGTCTTAATTCTGGAAATCATGGCTAGTTCCATAGATTCTATTTACTTTTAGCATTTGCATGCAGATTTATATACACGGATTTCCCAAAAAGTATCCGTTTTGCAGTTACTCTCAATTTTATAATTTTTTAATTAGCGAGAGATTTTGAATTCAAATCCTACAATCTAGTCCGTCAAATAGTGAAGCTGCAACAGACTTTTCGTTCTAAGCAAAGGCCTAATAAGCTTACGCCGTTTGGAGTGATTGGGTTAAGGCACTTCAGTAAGACGTGTGAACAACTATTTAGTCGAGGCCTATTGGGCCATTGGCGTTCAGTAAGCGATCATACATCCAATGTAACAGGCCGTATTCTTAAAACAGATTGGCGAATAGGCCCGATAGTTGGTCACAAAAAAAAAAAAAAATTTTTTTTTGGAGGGTACACTCAGTCAGAAATTGCAACTTGTTATGAGTGATAATATCTAACCAACCTAGTGTGAGGTTGGATTGAAGGGAACCAAACTATTTTTTTTTTTTGAAAAAAAAAAAAGAACCATTCTGATATCTTTAAAAGGCAAGCCAATCTAATTTCTTAAGGAAATAGCTAGAAGGTGTCTCTTCAAAAGAAGAAAAATATTTTCTACAAACTTTTTGAACAATCAATTAATTATGTAAAGGATTTCTTGGATTCAATGTAGATTTTAATACTATTTGACTAATGTCAATACTACCTCATGGAGGACAATTTCTATTTTCTTTTGGTTTATCACATGATTTTTTTTTTGGTCAGTTAGTCAATCACGTGATTATGTGACTGACAATTTGGGAAATTGGTAACTGAATGAGAAACAAAATACAAGATTATAGCACATAATATTACAACAAATGGCAAAAATAGTTTAAACTATTACTAGAATTTCCTATTTTGGGCACTAAACTTTTTATGTAGTTAAAATGATCATTTAATTAAGAAAATACTATATTTTTGTCACTCAACTAATAGAACTTATGCTTTGATTATTATTCAACTAATGAAAACATACATTTTTTAATCACAAAATATGTATTTTAATTAGTTAAATGACCATTTTGACTAAGTAAATGACCAAAAGAAAAAAATTTAAGTAGGTTATTGACGGCCATTTGCCTATTCTAAATATCCAAAAAAAAAAAAAGGAAAAAAAGGAAAGAGAAAAGGAGAAAGTCATTATTCCGCTCACAGTCACGTTTAGGTCGGCAAAACGCTGCGGCTGGAACGCTTTTTGTGCGTGACCTCACCCCTTGTATCATAGAGTTATACCTCCAACGCTGAAGAAGCCGCCTCAGGAAGAAACAAGAGGGCCTCCAACTATTTCATCATTCTTCTGTCAGTTCTGCGTCTGCATAAATATCAATCCCTGGCCTTCTTCTCCATTTCAGTCTTGCTCTGCCGCTAAGATTGTTCTAAATCCGAGCCTTCGAACATCAGGTTTGCTAGATACTGATTCGGCCCTTGTTTCTTTGACGCTTATATGTTGTTTCCTACATTTTTTCTTTTTGGATAATTTCTGATATTTTGTTGTGTACTTACAAAACCAATGGTGGCATTTAGCTATTAGTGGATGCAAATTTGTATGCTTAGGTTTGTATTAACTCGGTTTACTTTAAGAAGAGAAGGAGACGAATATAATTGATTGGTCATAAAAATTCCAGCCAGCTTTAAAAAAAAAAATTAAAAATTCCAGCTTTTGTGGAATTATGTGGTTGGTTTTTTGTGATAATTTTCATCTTCTGGTGTTTGAACAAATTGTTTTTATTGGCTTTGGGAATTGATAGCTAAATTTTGAATACTCAGTTGTTGGTCTAAAAGGGGTTAAACGTTGGTAATGTCGATAGTTTGTTGGGTTTCAGCAGTTCTGTTGCTTATACAGTGGTTGTTGTTTGTAGATATGGCGCAAGAAGCCGGTATGTTTACTGTAAATCAAACTATTGGTAGCGTTTTGTGCTGCAAATGTGGAATCTTGATGCAGCCCAATCCAGCTAATATGTGTACGAAATGCTTGCGCTCTGAGGTGGATATCACTGAAGGTCTACAGAAGCATGTGGTTATTGTTCATTGCCCCGAATGTGATAGCTATCTGCAGCCTCCTAGAACTTGGATCAAGGCTCAGTTGGAATCAAAAGAGCTGCTTACGTTTTGTGTAAAGAGGTTGAAGAATCTGAACAAGGTCCGGTTAGTACATGCTGAGTTCATCTGGACCGAGCCTCATTCCAAAAGGATCAAAGTTAAGCTGACGGTTCAGAAAGAGGTTCTAAACCGAGCGATACTTGAGCAGTCTTACGTTGTGGAGTATGTTGTACATGAACAAATGTGTGAATCTTGTACGAGGGTTCAGGCCAACCCTGATCAGTGGGTGGCTGCAGTGCAGCTACGCCAGCATGTTTCTCACAGAAGGACTTTTTTCTACCTGGAGCAGCTAATTCTTAAGCACGATGCTGCTGCACGTTGCATAAGAATTAAGCAGATGGATCAGGGGATAGATTTCTTCTTTTCCAACCGGAGTCATGCCGTGAAGTTTGTGGAATTTTTGGGTAAAGTTGCACCAGTTAGGTATCGTAATGATAAACAACTGGTTTCCCATGATCCCAAAAGCAATAATTACAATTACAAGTATACCTTCTCTGTTGAAATATGCCCGATTTGCCGTGAAGATCTGATCTGTCTCCCTCCAAAGGTTGCTGTTAGTTTGGGTAATCTTGGTCCACTCGTCATTTGCACTAAAATTAGTAACAGCATTGCTTTAATGGACCCCTTCACTCTGAGGCACTGTTTCTTGGACGCTGATCAGTATTGGAGGGCATCTTTCAAGTCTCTGCTTTCCAGCAGGCAGCTTGTAGAGTATATAGTATTAGATGTGGAGCCAGTTTCTTCTGAAGTTGTGGTTGGTGGCTCAAGGTATGTTTTAGCTGATGCACAAGTAGCTCGAGTATCAGATTTTGGGAAAAATGACACAATTTTCTCAGTGAGAACTCATCTAGGCCACCTTTTGAGCCCTGGGGACAATGCTCTTGGCTATGACTTGTATGCGGCCAATAGCAATGATATTGAACTAGACAAATACAAAGGCCTTGTCCTCCCTGAAGTTGTATTGATTAAAAAGAGCTACGAGGAGAAGCGCCAAAAGAAGCGTGGGAAGCCTCGTGCATGGAAACTTAAATCTCTTGATATGGAAGTTGATAACACAGCTAAAGGCAGAGATCATGAAGAGAAGGTGAACTCAGAGTATGAGCAGTTCCTGAGGGACCTGGAGGAAAACCCTGAGTTGAGGTTTAACATGTCATTGTACCGGAATAAGGAATACCAGCCATCAGAAATGGCATCAGTGACTGATGGGGAGGAAGTCCCATCTGTTCCATTAGAAGAGTTGCTTGCTGATCTTGAATTAAGTGACGTGGAAGTTGATGATGATGGCATGATGGAGTGAATTGTCTCCCTGAGTGAGGAGTTATTACTTGCGTGTAGAATAGAATCTTGTAATATGTTGATCTGATCTTTCCTTTCTCCAAGTTTGGGTGCTTTTTATCTTGTTAGCAGAAAATTTCCCAGTTACTAGTATTGCATAAGAAATTCCTTTTATTTGCTTTCTGTTGTTTCTCAATCCTGAGTATTGGAATTATAATTCAGCCTGAATATATAGAAGGGACTTGCCTTTGAATGTGAATTTGTCTAGAGCTCGTCAATTGCTATTGTCTATAGGTAGAAGATTTTTGTAATTGCTCTTTCTTCCTTTGCTAACACTAATGCATATTGACAGGCTCGCCTTGAAATTTGAATGGGAGGAAAGAACTATGATACTAGCTGGTGCTGGTTTAAGTTCCCTAGTTGCTTTTCATTTCAGCTTACTTGCAGGCACAGTGAATTTCTATCTGCCTAGTGATCATTCCCTCTTTGCAAGAGCACTAATATTTCTCTGCTTTTTAAGTGGTTGTGTCTAATAAACTGGCAGTTGGATAGACTTGAGAACATGATTTATTAAACTTTGCAGTTCATAGTACAAGCTTTCTGTTTTTCTTTTAATTGCACATAAAGTTATCATGAGTAAATAGCAATTAATAACACTGAATTTTGTTGTTGCTATTTCTCGAAGTTGATTTCTATTCCCTTTAGCATTCTTCATTTGCATTTCTTAGGTTTCAATGTCCATAGGTCATTATACAAGCTCTAGGATTTCAGTAGGAGGAAAAAGCAACTTAAATGGACTTGGTGCATTGGGAGATACGGGTTGGGACTGCATTGACGGTGGTATATTGTTGACTAAAACTGCCAAAAGAATTTAAGTTCTCTACTTTGCAATTGCCTTAAATTCAGCTGGATATAATATTCCGGGTACATTTCACCGTTCCTTGCTTTCGGAGAAAAAAGTGGGTTTATCTGTACTGCAACCAAGCAACTCTTCATGTCAAAGACTTCGTAATCCCTTTTGAAGAGAATACTGCTGCACTTAGCTTCGCATCCGGTGTCAAGTTTCAGGCTCTCCAAGTTGGATGGAAGGTGAAACCTCAGGAAGCTCAAGTGGCTCCTTCATTTCCATGAGTGATTGATAGTTCAAGAATTGGTGAGATTACCAAAGAACAAAAACATTTCCAAATGGCTGGAAACTAGTAGAACAATCTCAGCTGGTGCAGAATGCAGTAATGAAATCCATAGATCTTGATGGTCTTAAACCAGTTCAGATATAGGTACGGCGTCTGAAGCTATTATTAGATTCCTTGTTCTAGCTCTTCTGTACACATAATTCTAGCATTTCATGAGATTTCTTGGATTTCAGATGTTTATATGCGTGAAATACAAGAAAATAAGTGAAAATGCTGCATTTTGAATACGAGAAAATGGCCTGGCAACCATGTAATAGAGGCTGTGGCAGTGGAGTTTGATGATGCAATTTCTGTAGATTCGCCGAAAATCTCCCATCTGATCAGATAACTGTAGTCCTTAAGGGGCGTTGCTGCGCCCATGAACGATCGCTTGAAAGCATGACAACTACCTCAGACATGGTGGGCCTTCGAGAAGGTTGTGATTGAGTGCATAGCAAAGCAATTTCCAGGAGTTTCTTTACATCGTCTGTCTTGCAATCGTTAGGGTCCAAAGTCTCATCCACGAATGCCAAATGCATGTCACTCTCATACTGCTTCCATGCCTGTAATAAAAGTAAGCGATGGAAAGGTCCACGCAAAAGAATTTCTGAATGAGATGTACCTGGTTGAAGAAACAAAGTGAACTGACAGTTAGCTGTTTAACGTTGCCAAATGAAAGTTACCTGTTCAAGAAGATTGTCACGGCCTGGCTCAACTGTTTTGTAGTTGCTACTTCTGCCACTGATTGTTTCAAGAACGACAACACCAAAGCTGTAAACATCAACTTTCTCAGAAAGCTGTCCATGAATTGCATATTCTGGTGCTATGTAGCCCCTGTTGCATTAAATTCCTCATCTCAGAAAGACAACGACATAATTCGTTTATTTTTCAAACCCGCATTTATACTCTTAATGGAACAGTAAAGGGTGCAAATGACTATCTACGGGATTTCAGTTGGTGCCAGATCATGTTTCGATTAGAAGACTGGACATCTAAAATAAATGAAACTGAGACACAAATCCGAGGCCAAGAAATGCAGAGTTCCTGGACATCACTATCCGTTTCATTTGGTTTAGGGATATAAATTGTAGGATGTACAAACAACCACTGCAAAAGATACATAAAAAGGCTTCATCTTAATCAACCATGTCTCTGGTGAGCTGTTATTTTTATGAAATGAAAAGTAGGAGTGAAGTTTGACATACAAGTTACCAGAAAAGCTGCTCAGATGGCTCCGATCTTCGGGCATAAGTGCTGCCATTCCAAAATCAGAAATTTTTGGCTGAAAATAATTATCCAGTAGAATGTTGCTGGACTTAACATCTCGATGAATGAGAGAAAAATGGTATTGTTCATGCAGATAGGCAAGACACCTAGCTGTTCCAAACACAATGTCGAACCGTTGCTTCCAATTAAGATATCCTCTTTTATCACCTGTGAACAGTTAAAAAAAAGAAGAAGAAGAAGAAAGAAAGTTTAATACACGTATTCATTGTCACATTCAGAGATATATCAGGAAAACTAACCCATATATTGCATTATACTTCACTCAAGCACGTATGCAAATGATGAAACCCAAACAAGATTTAGATAAAGAAGCAAAATGCTAAAGGAATTGTAATGGTAGATTAAAACCCTGATAGGAAGTATGATGAAGCGATTCTCTTGATTATTAAAACTTCCTTGCTAGTTGCTTTATTTGTCTCTCTGTTTTCTAAGGTTGCATTCTGATGTAGCAGGGCAAAACTGGGTTCTTAAGGTAGATATATGAACTTTATGCGATAACTTCTGCTCATCATTCTTTGAACTGAGCTTGCTTTCAATCAAGCTCTCTGTACTGATATCTACTAGCTCCTTCCGAATCTTCTGATAGTGTCACAGAAAAGTATTTGGTCGAGCTCATATCAATCAATCGTGTCATCATCTTTAAAAATGCAGAGTTAAGATTTACCATATAAGAATTTATCCAGGCTTCCATTCGCCATGTATTCGTACACAAGGAGTAGCTCTGCTCCTTTTGTAGAGCATCCAAGTAAGCGAATGAGATTTCGGTGATGAACATTACCAATAACTCTGATTTCACTTTCAACCTCTTCCTTTGGTCTACTAGCAGTTGCTTTTAGCTTCTTGACAGCAACTATATTTCCATTATTCAGAGTACCCTGAAGTGTAATGAAGACAAAAATAGGAAAATATCTACATTGAACCACTGGCAGTGAAGCAAGCAATTAAATTTTATAAAAATTGCTAAGAAGATGAAGTAACTTTGAAATATGGAACAAGTCAAGGGAAGCGACCATGGTGGTAAAAGCAATCTCTTCTGAAGAAGATCATCATAATTGATAATGGTCTATTGAATTCTTTATTACCGGTTAAAAAGAAGCTGCATACATTACTATACCTTGAAAACCTCTCCAAAACCTCCTCCTCCAAGCTTGCATTCCTTGCTAAAATCTCTTGTTGCAGTTTTCAGAACTTTAAAATCATAAGCTACAGGACCCTGCAGTTCAGTTGCACCGAATATGTTACCTGGTGGATAAGGTAATATATCAAATTATTACCTTACGGTTAACACAAGATTAAGGGAAAAAAATGATGTTGAAATGCCAAAAATCTTGTTAGCAACTTCTTATCTAAAGCAGTGCAAGGACTGATATGAAAACGAGTAATTCATAAAGGAACAGAGGGAAGAATGCTGTTCTAGACCTGGTGGTTCAGTCTACATTGGCTATCTTGCAAATAGAACCAAAATACCTTTTTGAGGCGCCTCTGGCTTTCTGTGCAACCGACACCATAGAATAAAAGCAAGTGCAATAATAATAAGAAGGCCACCACCTGCGGCAGCCACTCCAATGATAATAACTTTCTTCTTGCTTAAACCTCCTGCAAGAATGCAAATTTACATGTCACCAATTAGAGGGAGTTTTTTAAGTTGAGATAAAAGCTGTGCTACAGCATCTCCGGGAGGAATACGTGCAAGGGATGAACCAAAAGCCTATTTATGTCAGAATGTCTCCCTGTCTGAAGTAAGCAGATGAGTATGATTATACAATGGAATTAGCATTTCAATAAATAGTAAGAAGAGGACATACAAGTCCCTGTTTTCATCAAAAGGTTGTTTGTGAAGACGGTAAGAGCAGAGAAAGTTCGATCAAGAATTTGCAAGTAAATGGCATATTCTTCAGTACACCAAAAGATAATACTATGAAAAGGTAATTAGCTGTATAAATGTATCCTCAAGGACGTATGTTAGGGAGATAAGATATCTTACGTCCTCGTAGAAAGGGCGTGATATCGATTGTCTGGTTATCAGGGAAAAATGAAGTCTCTGAATACCTAAGAAAGCAGGCGACATCAACAGCCCTTCCATCTGCATTGGGTAAACAGCCCTGTATATTGTTAAATGCCACAGTCAAGCAATCTTCACAACCACTTTGGCTGATTGTTTCAGCACATTGTGCCACCCCATAAACTGTGCGACCACCTGGACTCACTTCCCTCTTAGATGCCGCAAAGTAACCAGTAATCCTAGGCGTTGCAAGTTGAAGATCCTTCAACAGGGCTTGTGCCTGTGCTCCAAATTCATTTTCTCGAGATCCAGTCTGAGTGCTGCATATCTCCACATTTCCTGGAAGTGTACTCTGATCATAGAAGGTGTTGCTCTCGTACCTTGCAAAACAAGAAAGTTTCCAAATATTCAGCTGATGCACATTGAGATCTGACAGTGAAAGCCTCCATTTCCTCCAAAAAACATATAACAAAATCACCAACCAAATTGAGTCTGTTTCTGTTTGTCCTATCCTCACGTACAAATACAATCTCTCTAGTTCTTTTCTTCCAACTTTTCCCCTTTTAAAAAGATTAAACAGGACTACCTGAGGAAGCAGCCATCATACACAACACGACCGCCATTTGCATCTTTGCATTTCACAGCCTTGGCCACTGCAGCATCAAAACAGGAAACACAATCAGCTGTGGAGAGGTAGTTTCTGCACTGAACCATGGCATAAACGGGGTCAGGTGACCTGGACTGCTGTGCCGTAGCAAAGTGCTTGTTTTGCAGGGATAACTGGTTCCTGAGATCATTAAAGGTGGCATTTCGATTGTTATGGAAGTCCCTAAAATTTGTAGCATTGTACTGACTGCATCCTCTGTTTAGCAAATTGGTTTGTGGGTCTGAAATTACTGGTTTCAGGATTGATGCAACAATGACAATGATCAGCACTCCCAAGTTCCAAAAGGTTGTCCCCATGGTTGTGCTGATCTTTTTGCAGTCTGCAGACTTGAGGATCAATTTGCCATGGTTGCCAAGCTGATGGTGGGATGGTGTGGAATTCAGGAAAGGGAAAAATGAGATGGTCAAAGCTAATCGCATTATGGCAACAACCAAAAGAACGGAGCAGGCTCCTGCTCCTCTCCATTGAATCCGGAGAATCAGAGAGAACTTCTCACCATTACATTATTATTCTCTCTCCACTACATCTTAATTTTAACAAATGCCTCGATTGTTCACGCAAATTACAATTTCATAAAACGAATGGTTGTAAATTCAATGGAAGATAGGGGTATGATTTATATGATCAAAGGATCAGGTGTGCCATTAATATTTTCCATATATATTTCATATATCAAAATCATGCACAATGTATTCCAGTAATCATCGTAATTGTACACAAAAGTTGGAACTAGATTGTCTGAATTTTGCCATTTGATTAGATGACAAATACATTGTTGAGAAAAAAAAAGATTCTTTTCGGGCATGGAGCGAAAACTGAATTCATGTAAGACCATTGTAGGGAAAAGTAATGATAGGTCAACGAGTTTTATCAAAATTAAAAGTATTCCCCTAAAAATTTTTAAATCTCAATAGCCACCTTAGTAATTGTCAACATTCAATATATTCGGAGAGTTATTATTTACGTTTAGAAAAGTTTAAATGGTTTTCTTCTCTAGTGAGCCTGTTCTTTCTAGGTCAACATCAATTATCAGTTGATTCTACTTGATTGTTTTGAAGATAGTAAGTTGCTGCTTGAATCTTTGATGTGATCTAATAAGTTTTGACATGATGGACTTGAGTTATTGCGAACCAAAAAAGAACATATAAACAAAAAGCTACTTGCATATGAAACGTTGAAACTACTCTTGTTTAATGGAGAACAGCCATAGTTATGGCAGTGAAATCTATTAAACTGTCAGACTATAACTTCTGATGTTTTGACAGTGTATATAAATGTCAACTAGTATATTCTCCCATGGAAACGATGTTGCTGTGATTTTAATCACAAATGGTGGAACATGCCTGCAACTCCAGTGCTCTAACTACTAGTAGTGTTCGAGTACTAAGAAATTACATTCCTCTCTGAATATCTAGTCTTCGCAATCAGCTTCTTGTCTGTTCCAAATCATATACACTTCAACAGAACAGTAAAAAGTATGAATGTGTTTCTTATGACCAATTCTTTGGTGACTGAATGCTTTGGAAAATTAAGTTGGAAAACAGGAAGAAGACGATATCTATCATAGAATTACATCAAGGAGAGTGCCATTGACACCAGTACCATTCCCATTAGCAGTTAGCTCCGCACTTTCTCGAGTAGGCAAAGAAAAATAGTTCGTGGTGCTCCTTGTGGACGCAGAATTTCTAACAGGAAACATGGCATAGACAGGATGCAAGGACCTTGCCTACTATCCTGTAGCAAAATGTTAGGTATCGGTTATATACTTCATTTTGCTGTGCAAAGGTTGCCGTAGGATTGTTAATGAGGATCAGAAGTTATGAACTGTTATACTGGTTGCATTTACTATTTTAGCAGGTAGATCAATGGAAGGTCACTTGTCAGGAATCTATCCATACCTCTACCATTTCAATTGGTAGGCTATACATTTCTCAATTTCCCACTACCAAGGACCAAAAACACGTATTAGAAAGCAACAGGGAAGCGACAAGATAAAGACATGCGATGTGCTAATCTGAGAATTTGTTTGGTCATTACTATATTAGGCTCTGAGTGAAACTACCCAAAACAAATGGCAGGTAGAGCTCGGGAGAAATGTAAGATTACAATGGAAAGTATGTCAAGAGAAGAGAGAAGTGAAACAGAACTCAAAATGTGAAATGGTCGGAGAACTGCTTAACTAAATCACTAGCACTAGCAACCAGATACGACGTGGCCAAGACATTTCGAGCTATCATTTGCTTCTGAATTCACATTTCATATGATTATATAATCTCCTCTATGTACATAATTGCGACATCTAGTAGTTGCTTGGATTTCAGATCCTTATGTGAGATGAATATCAAAAAGTAAGTGAAATTACTGCACTCTGAAGATGAACAAGCTAACGGCCAGTGAAATCAGTAAAAGAGGCAGTGGCATTAGAGTTTGATGATGTAGTCTCAGTAGATTCAGATATGTTTCTGAACCTCCTTTCAGAACCGATCACTGCAGTCCTAATGGGGCGTTGCTGCGCTGATGAGCCCTCGCTTGAAAGCATGACAACTACCTCAGACATGGTTGGCCTATCAGAAGGTTGTGACTGAGTGCATATCAAAGCAATTTCTAGGATTTTCTTCATATCTTCGGTTCTGTAATCGTTGGGGTCCAGAGTCGCATCCACCAACTTTAAATGCATGTCATTTTCATAAAGCTTCCATGCCTATCGTAAAAGTGACATTGAAAAGCAGGCAAAGGAAATAGTGAATGAGAAGGACCAGGTTGAAGAAACAAAGCAAATTGACCGGTTAACTGATTAATCAGGAGTAGAAATTTACCTGTTCAAGAAGATACTCACTGACTGGCTCAATGGTCATGTCGCTGCTCCGTCTGCCACTGATTATTTCAAGGACGACTACACCAAAGCTGTAAGTATCAACTTTCTCAGAAAGATGTCCATGAATTGCATATTCTGGTGCTGTGTAGCCCCTGTTGCATTATAGTTCCTCATATCAGGAAGAATTAATGACTTCAAGCTATATGATCCAGAGTTAACTTAATACAAACTTTTCAGACTTCTATTTGTGCTCATAGTGGAACACTACAAAGTGAAAATCACTATCTATGGGATATTACTTGGTTCATAATCATGTTCTGATTAGAAAAGTAGACCTCTAAATGAAATGAAATTAAGAGAAACTAATCTGAGGCCAAGAAATCACAGAGTTTTTGGACATCACTATTTTCTAAACTCAGGAATAGCAGATATAGCAAGTATTAAAAGCTACTACACAGAGACACATCAAAAGGCTTCAGCCGATTAGACCACATGCATGATCAGCCTTTTTAACGAAATTAAAGTAGGAGTGAACAATTTGTTTGACATACAAGGTACCGGCAAATTTAGTGCTCAAATGACTCCGATCTTCAGGCATAAGCCTTGCCAATCCAAAATCACAAATTTTTGGCTGAAAATCATCATCCAGGAGGATATTGCTGGGCTTTATATCTCGATGAATAATAGAAACATGGTATTGGTCATGTAGATAGGCTAGACCTCTAGCTGTTCCAAATATTATATCAAAACGTTGCTTCCAGTTGAGATACCCCTTTTTATCACCTGTGTGAAGAATCAGAAAAAGAAACTGTCAATACATTTTGTAATGATCACATTCATTGTAGTATTGGATCGACAACCCTTGACTTGAGCACATATGATAATGATGGAACTCAATCAAAAGATTTATATGAAGGAGAAAAATATGAGAGGAGCATCATCAAAAGGTTGAGGGAGCAGGCTGAGACATGAATTTTGGTGAAGTATAGAAGAAATATGTGTTTTGATTTTAGGTAATTGAAGTCAACTTCTTAGAAGTCAGACTTCCATACTTCTGCATAACTGTTAAAATCAATGACTATTTTTTACATTTCCAATAAAAAGACAATATTTGAGAGAATAACCAACTTCTGATTATTATTCTTGAACCGAGGCACCTTTTGATCAAGCTCTAAGAAAGAGAAATTCTCAATTAGGAGTTTATCTACTGGCTTCTGGCTCCTTCTGAATTTTACTTTCTGATGGTGTAAAAGAGAAGTATATGTTGAAGCTCTAATTAATCAACCATGCCATCATCTTTTAGAAAGCAGAGATAAGGTTTACCATATAAGTATCTGTCCAGGCTTCCGTTTGCCATGTATTCATGAACAAGGAGTAGCTCTGGTCCTTTGCTAGCACATCCAAGTAAGCGAATGAGGTTTCGGTGATGAACATTACTAATAAGCTTAGCTTCACTCTCGAAATTTGCCTTTGCTCTACCAGAAGTTATGTTTAGCTTTTTGACAGCAACAATAGTTCCATTTTTCAGAGCACCCTGAAGTGGTATGAAGACAAAAAAAGGAAAATCTCTGCATTAATTTACTAGTAATTAAGGAAGTGGTGAACAATTTATGACAAATGGTGAGAAGATCAAATGATGAAGTTTATAACGTAGAACAAGTCAAAGTTAGCGACCTTGGTAGTAAATTTAATCAATCCTCAGTTAGATCATCCTAATTGATAATGGTCTGATGAATTTTCTAGTAAACAGAAGCTGCATACATACTATACCTTGTAGACCTCACCAAAACCTCCTTCTCCGAGCTTAGATTCTTCGCTAAAATTGTTTGTTGCAGTTTTAAGAACATTAAAATTGTATGTTACAGGACCTTGCAGCTCAGTTGCACCCAATATGTTACCTGGTAGATCAGGTAATATGTCAAATTACTAAGTTATAACAAAGAACAAAATACAAGATGATATTAAAATGCCATATCTTTATAGCAACTTCTTATCTAGTAATTGCCAGTATTGTCTGCTAAAAGCATTTGGAAGATGACTAATTCAAAAAAGAACCGCCTGGATGAATGTTGTTCTAAAGATGGTGGTTCAAACAAAAGCTACAACATAAAGCCCACAGGTACATGTGAATATCTTGCAATTCTAACCAGAACACCTTTTTGAGCTGCCTTCGGTTTTCTGTGCAATCGATACCATAAATACAAAGCAAGTGCAACCATAAGAAGGCCTGCACCTCCAACCACTCCACCGATGATAGCCTTCTTCTTGCTTGATTTTCCTGCAAGGTTGCAACATCAGTATCTCACCAATTTCACAGAAGTTTTCAATGCAAATAAAATTGTAATAAAGCATCTATGGTACATATTGAGGACACGTAAAAAATGAACTGCCGGCTTCTTTTTTTCTTACAGTGATTCACTATCTTAAGGTAGCAGATAAGGGAGTGAATTGAAGACTGCGATTTAACATTTTGATTACAAGAAAGAGAAAAGGACAGAAAATCTCCATTTTCATAAAAACGTATTGTTTGTCAAAAAGTTAAAAAGTAGAAAATGTTCAATTAAGAAATCCTGAAGGACATACACGAAGGACAAAAGATATCTT